CCAAAACCCCAAAACCCCAAAACCCCAATAAGATTATTATCAAGAAAATCAGTTAATGTAAATTAAATTGAATTGAATAGAGTGAATAACTTTAAAATTTCAAAACTTTTCATTTTGAATATGTTCATTACTGATGTTGCTACTACTAGCTACTACTTGTATACTAATTACTGCTGTTTTCATTCTCCTGGTGTATTTCATTTATTGCTCCCATTATGAAACTTACTAGTTATTACTATTGCTGATTTTGAGCTTAGCTTGCTTGAATTTAAATCAGAACTTGTAGAGATTTTTCTATTCCAGAAACGGCTTCTTCTATCTTATTAATTCTCTGGTTCATACTTTCAAACATTTCCTTTGAATCTTTTTCTATTTAAGAAATCAAGTTTTACTGGCTCTATTATTGAGCCTCAGATAAAGCGTCTGAGCCACCTAGAGGGTGTTTCTAGCTTAGTTAAGGACTTGGGCTTCTATCGCCTAGAATCTTTTTGAATTGATTTTCAATGATTATATTATTGACATTTTTCTTGAAAATATTTCTTTGGGAATTTTATCTCATTTTCTCAAGCAAAGTTCCTCCTTAACCAGGATTGATCATTACACTTTTCCTATGCCTAGCATTAAAATTAGGCGGAACTAATTGCTATCTCTACATATTGTCAGTAGAGGTATTCTTGGAAAGTAATAAACTAGGTCTTTAATTTACATGACTGTTAGTAGGAGCTTCAACTTAGATGCTCTAAATATTTTGATATAAATTTAATTGAGGTATCTCAGGAAATACCTTCTAGCTCATTAAATTTGTATTTTAACTTTCTGTAATCAAAGTCTACTCCTTTACCGGTGAGGAGATATCCTCATCTTATTCAAATTAAGGAATTTCCTTCTCTACACTTACTTTATCCTCCTCAATATTTTCTTAAATTGGCTAATCACTCTTATATATTTTGTCATCCTTCTCATGAGATTATACCTGCGATTCTCCCATTAAATCGGACGATTCAACCTTGATTTAGGGAGTTTGCAAACTTTTATCAGTGTCTTTGTTTTTAGTCTTTTATTTTTTCTTATGATGAACTGCATTTTCATCATTGAAATTCGTCCTTGATCTCATAATTATCATCTTTTTTCTTTTGTCCTTCAATTTTTTCTTCTTTATTTCTAGCAAATTTTCTTTTTACAATTACTCTAATTCTATCATCTTTTAGGTTATCTTTTCCTCTGACACACTTTCCCTTTTCAACTTAGTTAAGTCTATACTAGTCAAATTGCGAGTTGGGACTCTCTCCCTATCCTCTTAAAGGCCTTTGATCAGTTCAAGATTTTGCATAGTAAGTAAACTTTATATCGAAAATTTACCATTTTGGGTAATAGGTTCAGAGATCTTTTTCTTGTTTAATAGATTTTTAATATTTTGGACCTCATTATTCTTATTTAGAGGCTGATTTGAAATAAAATTTGAATAGTCATCGCCCTTTTAGTCTTCAAATGATGAATAGGAGAGTTAATCTATTGATCCTTGAGGGAAAGGACTATCAGTTGATATATTAGGCTAATTTTTATTTCCATCAATATCTTGTGGATCTAGATTATTTCTTTATTAAGATTTCGTTTAGTTACTGCCAGTACGATCTCCAAATTTATTGTGATTTATTCTATTAGAATGATCTAATGATTCTATTGTATCCTAATTTTCATCATCATGATCAACATCATCAAAATTATCAATTTGCTCATTTTCATCCTCAATCCTTTAGTCGTTGTGATATCTATGATAATTAAAAATTTCTTGTTCTTTTTCTTCTTCCTCTATTTCATGCTGCTTCAACTCTTTTTCCTATTCCAGAAAAGTTGAGTCTGTTTTGATAAGATCTTCTTCTTCATCTCCTTCTTCATCGTCCTCTTCATCGTCTTCCTCATCTATTTAATTTAACTCCTTAATTTCTTTATTAACTGATATTCCATCTCCATATAATCCATGTGCAGTCTCATCATTTTATAATCCATCTCCTTTATTTCCATTCTATTCTAACTCTTATTTTTTATTTCTAACTTTGACATCTAGAGCTGTACTCATTCTGCGAACGACCTTATCATCTATACTATTCACACTTAGCCTTTAATTCTATATCTGCTTTTTCAAGAAATAGCTTTCACTCTCATCCTTTATTTTCAAAGTTTTCTTCAATCTTTTTGAGGAATTATGAAACAAATCCTAAAGTATTTCCTCGTACTCAATGTCCATTTTAGCTAGATCAGGTTTACTTATGGTTAGTAAGTGACAATTTTCCAAAGCTTTTACAGTGAATTTTCTCTTACCATCAACATTTTAGAAGACAAAATCTATTTCTCCAAAGTAATACCCCTAGTCTATGATTAAATAGGCGCTGTCCTTCAGATCTTTATGTACTAATGCAGCTTTACCCTTGATTAAAAAGAATATTTCTTCAATAGGATCATTTTCCTTGTATATATAGTTACCCTCCTCAATATGAAGAGGCTTGAGTATTGGCCCAATAAATGCAATGAAATGTGGAGGTTTATTTTAAAAGAAGTAAATTTTCTTAACGATTTCTCTATGCATAATTAAGGAAAGTTCAATCTTTAGATTCTAAGGAAGCTCATTAAGAAAACTGAATTGAACAGCTGCGTTTCTTTAATAATCATATTTTAGAGCCATTTTTAAACGCCTATAAAATTCAAATCCTATTTTGTATTATCTTTAGATTTTGTTAAGAGTCTAAAGTTTTTCATTAAGGTTGGCATTCCTAGTATCAATTGAGGAAAGCATTGAGGATAATGAGGAAATAGAGAATGAGAACGAAAAGACACCTATGATCATCAATATAATGCACATGATTCTTTCAGGAATTGTATATCCTGTTATATCTCCGAAACCAACTGTTGTTATTGTAGTTAGAGTGAAATACATAGAAGCTATGTAAACTTCGAAATTGGATGAGTCTTGATATCCATTCCTGAAAATCCATGTATGTGAACTATCATCGTTTAACTTTGCTAGAATTATCCTGAAAATTAATTTTAAAGTATTTACCAGAAACAACCGCAAATATGACAAATAACTATTGACATGATAATAAAGAATATCAAGCGTTCAAACCCTGCACTGATTCTAAAGATGTCATTTACTTGTTTGATCAAAGTATTTCTTTCTTTAACTACTTTCATAAGCCTGACTAATCTAATCATAGAATCATAAGAAGAAAACATTATTTACCTAAATACTTTGATGAGTCTATATAATTTTGGAAGCCTAGCAATTCTAGCTAGAGAACTATAATCACTAGTGTTCATTATTTAAGAAATCGGAAAGATAGATACAGCATCAATCAAAAACCATCCTCTAAGCTATTGAAATCACTTTAATGTGTAAATTTATTACATATTTGCAGGATATTTTCTTTCTAGAATCAATAATATCCTCTGACAAATCATAATAAGCCATGAAGAAGTTCAAAATGATATCGATACTAAACTTTAATTAATCAAATTCTTACCCAAATAATCCATCAACAAGCGAGTCTATAACTATCCATAGTGTGTCGTCTAAATCATAAAAAGCAATTCTATATGGTGTCATTACAGCAGTGAATAAGAGGCATCTAATCGAAGATTAGTACATTGAGAGAATTCTTACATAGTTATAATTAGATCCCATCTCTACTTGAAAATATCATCAGGTAAAATGATGAAATAGTCGTACTATTTTAGATTTCTAAGTCTCTCAGCATCATCTACACAAATGTCATCCAAGAATCTATCATTTTTCTTCATAGTTTTGTTGTTATCTGTACTTCTCTCCGTTCCAGTAGTTGGCTACGACTCTGCTCTCACTTAATGTTCTTAATGATGATTAATAGTGTTTATATCGATCTTTGATTCTTCATGTCTCTAGCTTAGACGGCTATTATTTCTCTCACTTTCTTTATCAAAATCAACCTCTGGTTCTTTTTGCAACTCTTATTCCAAAATCTACTCATTCCTTTATTGATCATTCTTGTCCTGCAAAATTGGATACTCTTCCGTAACTCCAAGAAATTATCTTGTAGTTGTAGGATTAGAATGATCCTCATCGGGGTTTTAATTTTCAATTGTTGGAGATTACTTCTCCTCAATTGGTGTTAATCCATTCTTAATAGTCAGATGAGTATCAAGGTAGTCAATATTTATCTTAGCGATTGGACTTCTGTGCTGTTCTAATTTAGATGCAGCCATTGATAAGGAAGCATTCTAAGAACTTTTCAAACTTCCTTTATGCTCAAATTCATTAGCTAACTGAAGTGAACTCTATCTCTTAGTATCATTTTCTAATCTTATGCTAAGCCTAGATTGACTTTAATCAAGATTTTAAAGATTCATAGAACTTTTCCTTGATCTTCTTCTCTGTTCATGCTTTCTATGATGCTATGAGCCATCAAGATAGAGTTAGTTTAGATTGATTGGAGCAGGAGGCAATAATTTTGATTTCCTTTTGCTATTATCATCAGAATCAAAATCATAATCTGAAAGCTCTCCATAGTCTAAAGGAGCGAATTCTCCGATTTGATTACTTTTTTGTGGTTTCTAGCTTTTAATTGAGCTTTATGCACTTAAAAACTAGTTTGATTGCTTTTTTACTTTGTGGGTCCTAGCTGAGTTTATATTAAGAAGATCGTTATTGCTGTCCTTTTTAGCCGATACTTTTCTATAAGTTTAATTCTTTTACTATTAATTTGATATTTTGATATCAAGAAACTAAGCTTGATTACTATCTGTAAATAAAGGCTATATTTTAAACTTCTAGATAATACTAAAAGATCTGGGCTGGCTACTTTAGTTTTTATTCTCATTTTTTTAAGGCATAAGCATATTACCAGTATTTATATTGTTCGTAATTTCTATATTATTCGATATTTACTAGTTTATGTTCTAGATGGGGAATTGAAGTTGATTTATTATAACATGAGTTGGCTGGTTTGGATAAACAAATTTATCATCATGTTTTATCGGATTACTAAAATCAAAAACAGGAGAATTTTGATCATTGCCTATATTGAAATTTCTCTCTTAATTTTATTATTAAGGTTTCTGAAAATAAGCTTCATACATCAATGAGTTATTTTAAGTAGTAGATTTTTTTTCTGAATCAAATGATTACTACAATTGCTACGCTTGGATATTGTTGAACAAATCTTCAAATTGATTTTAATCGAGTTAGATCTGCTATTGAACCTGTCATTTAATATGATTTTAAGCGTGTATGGGAGCAGGCACTAAATTTAGTATTTAAAGGATTATTAAGTTACTTATTTTCTTGAATTTGTTCATAATCTTATCATGAGTTTGCTCATTCATGTTTCTAAAGTATTTCTATAATTGAATTAATTAAGACTGTTTTAATATATTTATTGCTTTTAGGTTTATTCATATTTATCTAATTTAATCTACTAATTTTTTATAGTAAATTCTAATGGGGTTTTGGGGTTTTGGGG